AAGTAGTTTAAGTACAAAATATATAGATCTATAAAAGGCGCACATAAAAAAATAAAAGCGCGCGAAATCGAAGTCCGAACGTGAGTGCACTGCTATGCAAAAGCGCGTGAACTTCAAGCAAAAAAGCGCGCGAAATGAAGCCGAAACGCACGCGCATTGCAATGAAAAAGCGCGCCAACTTCAAGCGAAAAGCACGCGCCMTGCCAGCAGYRCCATACCGTGTTTCACAGGCGAGTCTAGTAGTGGATACGTCGGTTGGTATCACATCACACGGAACCGACTGAAGGCTTGTCTTGAAATATACTTCGTTTCTTACTTCGTTACTGCCAATACTTTTTAACTGATCTTTGGCAAAATCTAAAAAAAATAATAGAAACATTCATACAGAAATGATTATGGATAATAATTATCAGATAACGTTAAGTTTAAATTAATTTTTTTTTTCGGTCCGGTATCCTAGTCATTCGCGCACTGTGATTGGCTAGCGCGCGGTCCGGTTTTTCACGATCTGCCCGGTCCACGGTATCCTGCAGCTAGGTTGCGAGCAAAGTTGCAGAAAGTACAATATAGGCTGTAGGTCGGTCMGTATAGGAAAACACTGCCCTCAATCTTTTATGTACGGACCTCGCGAGTTATACTCTCAAGACCTTGGGCAGTGTTTTCCTATATAGACCTTCCAACCGGTAAATAACATATATATATTATGGTCTTGGAATGCTCAATGTAGTATCCCACAGTATTCATTATTAAAGGTTTTCTGAATTAGCCGGTGTATATAATTAGAGTCATTTTCATAAACCCTTACAATTCAGCTAAGAGAACTATTATTGCTAGCTTGTTCACATGTTCTAACTTAGACGACACGCAAAGCAAGTACACAAAGACAAAATAAATAACAATAAAATACAAAGAATTTAATAAGATGTAAAGAAAATTTCTTTTTMAGATATGGTTATAAACTGCTTGCGGTATGAGGTACTTTATYATTTACGTCATTGAAAGTGCGTGTTGRWTATCAGGATATTTKCAMTGTTTTCGGTATATCTATGAACAGCACCGTTTCATCAGTAGACGAGGAGAGTTTAATGGTATATCTAGATCTAATAGACGTCATGAAGTGTTAATCAATTGCCAGTATGGTTGCGGTATGTTCAGAATGTTCACTAAAAGTATCAACTCTCCAGCAAAGTATTAAAATTAGACGCTATTGACGTCACTGACTGCGTGTCCTGTTGTGTGGTATTCATTATTAATCAGCCCATGAGGTAGGAATGATAGCAGTTAATCATTCTGACGCCATAGATATCTATTAATAGATTTTCTCCAAATATGGTGTGATAGGATGAATAAGAGCGCAGATCGGGGGAACGAATGGAAAACCGCACTAGAAACTTAATGAGTTGTAAAGAAAAATATACGCCCGCTTAAAGGAATTTGAAGCTTTGTCTTGCTCTCTCTCGGTTTATTTCATCAATTTATTGCATCAAATTTTAGAGCAATTTTCAAGTAAACTTTTTTTCAAAATTTGAAATATCTTACTTTTCCCAATGATATAGACCATTGTATTTCCAGCTAAACTTCCCTCGTTAGGAATGATCTTGGTTACTACTGGCGGGTCTGGGACTAGAATAAAAGAAGAATATACATAAGAAATATTGCAGTATATTGTATACCTAATAAAATTACAATGAATATGGGTAATGGATCAAATGTGACTTTATGTTTGCAAATCGTGCGATTTTATAATTGGAAAATAATTGTGTTTTTTTAGTAAAATTGTCATGCTTGTATATCATGACATTTTGACAGTTTACATAGGTTTTATCAAAAGGATTTAAATTCACCCAGCGTCTTCTTGAATGGTATTTTTCAGTTTCTTTCAACTTTGAGAAATTCAAGTACATGCGAACAGAAACGYRTGAGGTAGATGCTATGTTTTTGCACTTGTTYAAAAAGGAATCAGTGTCGAGGGTTTACAGTCACTGCAAGGCTTCTGAAAAGTTCTTTCTTATCATAACAACCACACGCGTCGCAATCCCTCAAATGCGAATTGACACAGAACTGTAATCCGTTCGGTGGTCATGTTTTAGTGTAGAGGTTACGTGCCTTGCATTAGCAAAGTAATTGTCAAAGCTAGTATTCCTTTGAAAGGTATTCAATTTATAATAAGATCTGGAAAAATGAYCASCACACGCATTTTAATCCCTGATTTGTGAATTGAAAGAGCTATAAGTGCCTGGCAACCTTGTTTGTTGAGCTTTTGGGTAGCCTCCGTAAGCAGATGTTCCTAGCGGTTTCGAAACGCTACGAGGAACGTCTKCTTRYGGAGGCTGTTTTGGGRCTTCTWAAAGAACATGTCAAGGGAATTATTAGTCCTCATCTACTAACTTTGGTGATTACAATCAGCCGAGGCACTCAAATCTTTYCTTRCTTATTAAAGTTCGTTTAGTCACTCTGTCAAAAGCTCTTTATACAGTCAAACGTGACTGTAAAGATCTAGTTAAAATCCTTGTTACGTTATTTTGTGTGTTCGAATACTACTTGCATAATTTCTCGATTGTTTTCAACTATGCCAATAAAATATATTTATAACATCCTACAATGCGCAAATGCATGGAAAAGAAAGATTGTTAACTTGRATGAGCCTGTGCTAAAGGCGCTAAAACCCTTGAGGACGCCCATCCCAGTTTTGTGGCTCAGTGATAATCCCGCCCCGAAGTAAAAAAGCTGGCTATAACTTAGCAAAGATGTATTAGAATCTCTAGCTGAAAATGGTTGTCTATATAACGGTCTAACTTTCAGATTCATTGTTTGCAAACTTAAACTTAACATAAACTCAAGAGTACGTTCATAAACTCCCGATCACCAAGTGCATCCTTAAAGCATCTTGCTTTCCGTAGCGGAAAATATTCTTAAAAGTACTTCAAACTTGGCTGCATTTAATTTGAATAAAGCACTCCTCTATTTCCTAATAAAAACTGACTTTGTAATAGGTTTTTCCGGCTAAATCATTTAATTAAGGTATGATATTATTGCATGGCTTAAAGTAATATGTGCTCAACATAATCGAACGTATCGGATGATGCAAAAAAAAAAGAAAGAAAAAAAAAGGTTAAACAAACGTTGAAGCGTTTCAAGTCAAACCAAAGCTGAAACCTTTGAATACGAATTTTAAGCCCGACCTTGGAATAGTAAAGGGAATTCGAGTATGTATGCGTACATTAATGCTTTCATATTCGTTAGAACTCCTGCTATGACTCAAACACTGCGGAAACAATGCCTGCATGTGAAACTATGAAGCGTTTTSTCTTCCTAGAAGAATACACAAAAAACGATGAGCTTCCTTGAAGAGTTCACGCAGTTACAAATGGGTTTGGGAAAATCAAAAGAAGTTCAGACGATTCGTAAAAATGCGTCACTAGAGATAGTCATTTTTGCGCCGCTTCTGAAACTGCTGAGTCAAGCTCCCATGTCTGGAAGCTTGCTAAAGGCAATTGTTCCCACGGTCATGAACCGACATTCATAAGCCACCGAGCGAAACCAGACGATACAAACGACATGTTCACCAAAACCTCATCGTTTAATTTCTAGTATTCCTTGCGAGTATAGTGTTTTCCACCCCTTCAACATGCAGTGAACGTCATTTTACTCTCTTCAGCAAATCTAATGAAAACGCAATGGATTTCTTGCKCATCCATTTCATGCTCCGTGTTCGACGCCTCAACAAACATACCGAGCATTGAGAACTTGACAGAAAAACCTATTAACGAATGGGTTCATAGTTCAAGGGAGAAAATAATGTCGCACTGAGTTTCCGTACACGTTGCCATAAAAAGTCGCGTCCGCGTGAGCCCTCCCGATGATATTCAAGTCGGAACGATTGCTCAAACGTTGATTTTGGATTGAATGGGGTTACATTTCGACATATTTGTTCCACTTGATAAGCGATTCAAGAGCCACGAACTTGCGGCGTAGACCGTGAGAAAAAAAAAAGATTATATACTGTGATAATAAGTATTTATAGAAAACAACATGGATCCCAAAATACAAGCAAACGATTCATGTTACAAAAAAAAAAAAACTTGTGAGAGACGCAATTCTCTGGTTGAATGAAGAAYTCTTCGAGTGTGAAATTAGAACGGAAAACAGACCGCTGTGTGTTTATGAAACGTGCTCACAATTTCAAGAGCACTTTGTATTTTATATGTAACAWAATTACGTGTTTTTGMARGTGTAATCTTCGTTTTTCACCGCAAACTTCCCGCACCTTTTGTGGGCATATGACGTCCCTTTTCGCTCTTAAGGTGTCGATTAGATTATGAAGTAATAGMCGATGGCTAGTTTTCCGCTAACTTTTTGAATAGGAACGTATAATAGAGTCGAAAACAATAGTGAATCTTGGTGTTAGCCATAGACAACAGTTTTCAATTATGCTACAAATATTCTTTCTTCGGCAATAGAAGGGTATTCAATATTTGTTTGTATCTAGGCAACAATAAMGCAAATACACTTGGCGAGCCCTTAGGGGGTCGGAAGACGGGATCCTTTAGATTTGCGCTCAAGGTATTTACTTAAAATACTTTATAAGTAATAAACATATGTTGACTGTTCAAATAAAATACTCCCGGATCAGTTACATATCCGAAAATGTAAACATAAGAAATCTTAACTTTTACAAAATATACTCTCATACATTTTCAATGAAAACGTGTATGTGTATTTCCKCAAAAAGTCATGAGTTTAACACTGAAGACTGCGCAAAAACCAGTGCATGAGCCGTCCGTCTTTATGTCTACTTTGTAGCCTTACCTTCAACGCTAAAGACTTTTAAAAGTGGCAGCTTTAGCAGACTAGCTAAAGCAATTACTTTATTTTGTCTTTCTTCGCTGAACTCAAAACCAAAACATTTTCATTGTTTCTGGCATTGCTATGTTAGTTTTGTGAAATGTCTGCTTTTACATGAACGCAAACTGCAGGACGCCTGACTGCCCTCGATGGATAAGCTCTGCATTGCCAGCAATGTGAAGTTTCGTTCCGAGTTAAAGTTACACAGAAAGTGAAAAAATACTTTTTTGGCATTTTTCTTTCTTTCTCGTCACTTTTTCCTTGAACTGAAAGTCTATTTTCTTGCTTTGGTTCTTTGAATCTTCGGGTATGCGCATATTTTGATAAACTTATCCAGAAGGTCATATTTCATTTAAGAAATTGGTCGAAATTGCCTTTTCTTGTATCAAAATTATTTTACAAGTTCTCAAAAGTTCATTCGTTTTCTGAATATCCAGAAAAAAAGATTTTCTCATAAAAAAATATAGGCGCTTTTTTAGTTGTTTTAGGATGTCAATTGTATATTTGACTTATAAGATGCGTATATCTTTTTAGAAAATTGAAAGTTACCGCAATGTCGGGTTGCACTATATTATGTAATAGCTAAGGTCTGTTTTCGCACATTTTTCTTTTTAATAAAGCTTCGTATTTCCTGTAGCTGAGAGCTATTGTAGATCTTAAGTGCACTTTGTAATCCTTCACTGGTCCTTATTGGACCGACATGCAGAGCTTGCGTTTTGTTCTCAGCATAAATATACTACGTAAGACATTTACAAAGTGAGGTTCATTTAGATTATCAAAGTATAATCTCTTAATGGTAATGCCTCCTTTTCTTTATGGAAATGATTCCTTTCTTACGACTCCTTATAAATCCATACTTTTATTACAAATGACAAAGTTTTTGCACCGATCCGAGCTCTTAAACACTGCAAGGTTGACTGAAAGTGCGAATAGATTTAACCCACAGTCCAACATCGAGCTAAACACTCGCTAATTGTGTGTTAAAATCCGTTCTCGTCGAGGACTAGTTTATTATTTACTTACCAGCTTCTGAAGCCCCAGATTTCAAGACTAAAACACCTACAGAGCAAGAAGAAAGCAGTTCAGCCATATGGTTGAAACRTGTAGCGAGAAATGATTTTAAATCGTTGCTGCTTACCGAGGTAGAAGACAATCGCGAAGACTTGTATTTTAATCATATTGACAAGTTTTCTGGAGTATTTTTGTTCAAGTTTTAAACGCTGAAACGTTTGAACTCAGATGGAGGACATTGTTTTTGTTTTTCAAAACTGCCTCTTCGATATATTGAATCTGAAATGAAGAGCTCAGTTTAGAAGGTACTCCAGCTAACTACAACAAGGTTTTTGCAACTATTAAATCTATCTGTGAATCCTGCGGCTTCGCRCAAGAAGCTCATCTGATTGGCTAATCCATTCGTCCCTTGTTGCTTAATTTCATATCCTTTGTTGATAACATAAACTGTAAGAGAGTTTTTAAACAATAGACTAACCGGAGCGTGGATATTCATATTTTCTATGTGATATACTTGCCTATGGAAAGATTCTTGTCTTAAAATCATAGTCATATGAGTTAAGTTTAGTTTGTGCTATGATATCACTCAAAGTTTGTTTTTTTTAATTACGTAGCGCGTCGCGCGAAGTCAACTCAAGTAATGACGTAACGACGGCGCTTTCATCTTTCCATAATACAAAGCTGCATTCATCCACTGAAAGGATTTTTGTCTTTTTTTAATAATATTTGCTTAGGATAGGTCATTTGAAGAATACTTAAAAGTTGCGCTATTTGTTGAACAACAAATCCGTGTGTTAAAAGAAAARCACACTTACCGCACATAATTTTTACGAAACGGAGTTTTCTTTATATAGTGATATTCAAAAGTTCTTTGTTTTTATTCTATTAAATTTTGGAATTATTAAAAACTAGTAATTATGAATTGTCTTTCTTTTATTTAACGTATTTGTGATCTACAGTTATTTCTAAAAAGGTTGTCAAAAGTGAAAGAAAGCCTATACTTCAGTCACTCAAAGGCTCTAAGTCGGCTTAGTCACGCAAAAAATCTCGCAAAATCCAAAATATTTTTTCTAAAGAGCTGTTCTTACAGTATATCTTAAATATATTTCTAGTTAGTGTGTATGGAAATTTTCAGACGAATTCAACGCTTTGGTGGCGAATCACAAAAGTAGGTGATTTTTCTTTGAAATAAAGCCATAATTGAACAAAATTTACAAAGGAAATCAAGGAAACCAGAGTTTTTGAAGTCAATTTGAAACCAGCCGCCATCTTGGATGATCAAAGTTATCATCCAAGATGGCGTCCCCATACAAATTAACCAAATATTTCAAATCTTTATTCGCTGATATCTTCATCAGAAAGTAAGCTGCAAGCCTTAAAGCTCGTATTCTAGATAATCTGACTATGCTCTTTATGAGTCGCTACTTGGTTTTTGAAAATTACGACAAATAAATTTTCACATTGGGGGTTGCACACCAAGAATTGATAATTGAATTGATAAAGATACTGAGAAAGAAACTAACTCTGTAGATAATAAATATGAATAAAAATAATAATAATTCGTAAAATACGAAAAATAAAGACGTAAAATACCTATATTTGCTGTCACCGCATTATATTTGCATTACTGATATTAAGACCTATAATAACATTCTGCTCTCTATTTCCGATTTTTTTTTTAGAGTTGTTTCCCAACCCCTTGCAAGGAAAAGCGCTCGTCAAGGGGTCCATAACTCAGATTTGTAAATCACTAAAACAAATGTGGCAAACAATCAAGGGAACACGTCCTTTCAAMTTTATATTTTGTTGTAATTAGAGAGTAATAATTATTTCTACATTATATTTTTTACTTTCTTAATATTTTTTAATTATTATACTGATGAAATTGAATACTAGCCGGTACCGAGAGAGGGAAATATGGATAAGGTCACTGCAGGATACAAATCACAGATGTATACAGCTAGGACATCTCAAGGTCAGGACTCCGTGGGTACTGAGACTTGCAGTTCTTTTGGGCTTAATTTCTCTAGTCATTTTTTTTTTTAGCTTTTTTGTTCTTATCGGCATAGGCAAATAGATTTTAAACATGTATTCTCGGGCTTTCAAAATTTCTAGGAACTCGTTTGAGATATTTTCAAAACTGTGACTTCTTTCTCACGTAAMTAGAGCGATGTATATAAATCTCAATTTCTACCCCAAGGCGGGATTCCGCCGGCTAGACGTGCCGTGCCGTGCCGTGCCGTATCACAATAGACGCAGTTTGCCTACAGCCTGTATTCTCTTTATATCATTATCTTATATATAAGCCACTGAGGTAGAGTATCTCTCAAGAGAGCTACAWCGAGGAATAAAATGCATTGACACCAGTAGAAATAAATTGCTTTGGTAAATTAATGCCATTAATATTGTTTCATTAGTGTGTGAAAAAGGACTGTGTTCTAATCTCTTTGTGTATCCAAGATGGCTATAGGGACAAACATAATCTACCTTAATCTATAAAGAAGGACCACTTCTTTATAACAAACTCACAATAAAAAGACATGGGGTTCTCATATGATGTACATCGCAGTACACCCCCCGTACCACATTTCTACTCGTCGCCGACAATCCCTTTTACAAAATGTTTAAGAAACTTGTTTATTAAGCAAAAAYGTGTTCAAAACCTTCTTGGTACGTGCTGATAGAGCAGGTCAAGGGCAGAGTCAATCCTYTTCTGCAGTGACTAATACACACTTTCCGTAAAAATCATCCGAAAAGAATGTMAATTAGTTATAATTTCCTTTTTTGTGGAGGCGCGCGGGGCACTTGCGCGTGAAGGATTATGGACCGGATATTAAACAGAAAACAAATGACGAGGCGTTTTTTCTGGATTTATATCGACTGAAGAGCATAACTTTCGTCGCGCACATGTGGTGAATTTAATGGRTATTGCTCAAAATTTTTAATATTTTTCTGTTTAAAAAAACGAAATGGCAGCCATGCATTTTACAAAACCTAGTTTTAAGCCAGGACGGGGATTTCATATTTATATCCATGCTATTGTTCAGCAGTGATTATTAGTACGCCACAAATACGTATTAAGCCTTTGCGTCGACAGATCGTGCATGATGTCTTCAAAACCGCACACCAGTATAGCTTATTTGTATCGAATGGCATGAGACAAATGATTCTACAAATTTTTTCATCATGTTTTGGGCAAGCATTCTTTCACAGCATGTTTACATCTGTGTGCGAAACCCGGTCTACAAAATTTTCTATCTGCCGGCATTGACGTCATTATTTCCTAGCAACGACCTTAATTGTGAATTTTCTTTGTGTTCGTTGATCTGTTGGGACAAAATTGACAATTATTTTCTCTGCATTGACGTCATTATTTCCAAGCAACGACCTTAATTGTGAAATTTCTTTGTATTGATTAATCTGTTGGGACAAGAGAGTCCGCCATCTTGGATTGTAGCCAATAAAGAGAGGGTCCTGGATAATCCCAGACCCATTTTACCCCGTCAGGACCCTCTATAGGGTATCTTTAGAACGAGGCAAAGTAAACTCTAACATGCATGCATTGCAGGTGGAGAAGAAGAGTCAGGACCATTTGAACTTTTCTCTTACATCCAATAAAAATGTTTCGAGAAGTTAATAATTTGAACTGTTCCTTAAGAGTTGAACTAAAAAAAAAGTTTGTTTCAATTGTTTTTTAATCGGAAAACCATTTTGGCGGGAAAATGCCCCCTTTGCTGCATGGGAATAGAGTTGAACATAAATACCCGGCATGCTGTGGGTTCTGTCGAAGGATGGCAAGATGGCGGACGAGAGTGCTTCCTTCCCTGTTTGGGTTGGAAACCTGGCTCCGAGAATTACAGAAAGTATACTATTAGATCTCTTTGGTAAATTTGGACCAGTRAAGAACGTCACCATTCTTAGAGACGAGAATGGGGTTTCCAAACAGTGTGGTTTTGTCAGTTTTTGCGCGTACAATGTCAGCAAAGCTGCAGCGATAGGTTTGGATGGTTGCGATGTCTTCGGACAAATCATCGAAACGCGAGGGCCAGACGAGCTTGTAACAACTACGCATACACCCAAAGTCCAGCAGAAAAAAGACAGCAAGGTTTTATTAGATTGTGTTTATTTTGTGGAGAAAAAAACTTGTCCATTTAAGGTTAACCAGGTAAGTTATGCAATGTCTACGCAAGCTTGTCAAAATGTTGTTTTTATTCGAAAATTTCGTTAAGTTGTTGGCAATTTTTTGTCTWTCTTAATAGTGTCCATATCGTCACTGCTCGGAGACTCAAAATACAGATAAAATATGTGAAAAGTGGCTGAAKTACGAATGTCGAGACGTAAAATGTCCTCAAAGGCATCCTGTTATCAATATACTAAAAGATAAGTCTGGTAGGACAGAATATGTTTAGTTGCAAAATGTATTAAAAATAACGTTTAATTAAATATCCTTGATTTTAAACAAACAAAAGAAATAATTTTTTAGTGGAGTGTTTGTTTTCCCAAATTGACATCATCTACACTTTATAAGGACCATTGTTTCATCGTTCTGAATTGAAGAAACTTTGTAGGGCCCAAAAAGGTCAAATCATAGAAGCTAAGACYGAAAGGGTACTTGGGAAGACAAACAATTTGGCTAATTTCATACAAACAGCTCTCCAGCATAAAAGACTAGCATGCTGTTAATCTTATTAGCTCTACTTGCTTGGTATACACCTTATATACAAATGTAATCCCAATTTAGTGGTACTCAAAATYCCTTTCDGTCTTAGCTTCAATGATGTGACCTTTTCGAACACGACTACGTTTTTTCAATTAGGTGTATTCAAAAGTCAACGTTATTTGTACAAATTTTGCGTCTTCTCAMATGTGAYACTACATTTTTTATCGAAGCATTTTGAAAATTTTATTGTTTATACAGAGATGAAGACCAGAGCAATGCCGCAGCCAAGGTGCCCATCRCATAATGCATATAAATGCAATGGGGAATGYGGGGATAGTGAATGCGAAACACACTTTATGGAGATGGATGATATGGTGGAACATCTTAACAGGGCAAGGSACAAGAAAGCTGTACCATCTGGAGCATGTTCTGGGGTGAATACAAGATATATACTTCAATGTTAATATTTGTATYTGAAAAACTCATTGCAAYGGTCATGCAATGGTAGTTTGAGCAGATTTCCGTTTGTATAATTGGCATTCCCTGGTTATCTAAATGTATGAAGCAAACACAAAAGACCTCTTTTAATATCTAATAGTATTTTTTTCTCCTATTTTTACCAAAACAATGATTCATTTTTTGATATTGCTTGCTCTGATTGATAATGTAGTGGTATATTGTAACTTGTTTCTAAAGGCAAATATGATTCCAACTTCTAATGATGCAAAGTCTCTTGCAGTTATTCACGACTTTTAAAAATGGTATGATATGTCATGGTCGCCGACCAGGGCAATCATGATGAGTTTTTTTTTAAGGGACCTGGAGCCTCCACATAGTAAACTTCGATGGTGTCTTGYAAGAGTGTTTTGTTATAAATAACATACCAATACATCTTTCAAACTTTTGGACACTTCATACATGTGATCTTCATATTGATTTCTAGATGGAAGGCCCTTGAGGTCTCCTCCAATATTGGCAGTCTTCGACTACTGCCTTTTTTGAAAGTTGTGTATAGCTTTGATAAAACCTATCAACATTTTTTCACTTATATAGGAATATCCAAGTTCAATTCTCTAAAATATATGTTTAATTTACAAATAGTGCAAAGCTGTGTTCTTCAGTGAAGAGGAGAGAAAGAAACACTCCTGTTTCCAGCCAAAGAACCTTCAAACTCCCTTTATTCCCATCTACCATCCAATCACAGCCAAGAACACATGTTCCTGTAACCCTGACGGCAACAGTAARCAACCCATAACAACATGTAAAGCATGTGGCAGCTGTTATGAGAACTCRGGAGATACTCTGAGYACCTTTGATTGTTCTCCTCGTAAAACTGGTTATTCTGGACATCAGTGCCCTAATTCCCCATCTATTTGGGGTGGTGATGGTGAGTTTTGATGTTGTTTATGTTTTGTGTACAACAGATTCTGGTGAGTGTTTTTAAAAAGGGCACCAATCAGTGAATGATTCATGTTACAAAGGAATATGTATGATAGATTGCAGTGTTATTGCTACTGTAAGTTGCACTTATTCCGAGCAAAATACAACCGTTACTATCATTCATGTCAAGTTTATTGCAGCAATGCATCTATCAAMTGTTTACAGTCAATRGCCATTGCATCACACCCTCACAGTTTTTAAGTTTGTAGGAYTYTGGGTTTTGCGGTGATTTGGGGTCAAGTTTTATCTGATAAATCAACTTCAATTTAGATATTTGAATAGAAAGTTTCAACAATAAAAGAGAATATTGTAATATTATAACACTATATTAATTATCTTTTGTTCCTAGGTAAACACAGTGTGGATCTAGAACCAATTGGTGTATTTTGGGACATTGAAAACTGTCCYGTACCTAAAGGAAAGTCAGCKATTGACATYGTCAAAAAGATACGAGAAGAGTTTTTCAATAACAAAAGAGAAGCAGAGTTCATGTGTGTTTGTGATATAAGTAAAGAAAAGAAAGAGGTCATTGAGGATCTTAATAAATCGCAGGTGCGTACATGCACTGTAATAAATAAAATATAGTGTGACAGTCATGTATTGTCATTTTGTGCAATGCGAGACRCAATGTATTTTGGGTTTGGATGAAATGCAAGCTGAAGCCATGAAGGTCTTATTATGAAATCTTAAATAATAATTATTGATATTAGTTAATTTATTATTTTTAGGTGACAGTTGTTCATATCAATGCTACCTCCAAAAATGCTGCYGATGACAAACTACGTCAAAGTTTACGGCGATTTGCMCAGTCCTACCCTCCACCAGCAACTGTAGTCCTTGTTTCTGGGGACATCAACTTTGCAGCTGAGTTGTCTGATCTTCGTCATAGGCACAACTTRACAGTTATATGYCTACATAATGCACAAGCRCAATCAGCTTTGCTTGCTTGTGCACATGAATCCAAGAGATTTGATTTGTTTACTGATGAYTTGGCTGTGTCTAGTACACACACAAAGGTATATGACGTCCAATAATTCTTCATATCACACTCAGTTTCATCCAATAATTCTCTATATCACACTCACTAGTTTCATCCAATAATTCTATATATCACACTCACTAGTTTCATCCAATAATTCTCTATATCACACTCAGTTTCATCCAATAATTCTCTATATCACACTCAGTTTTATCCAATAATTCTCTATATCACACTCACTAGTTTCATCCAATAATTCTCTATATCACGCTCAGTTTTATCCAATAATTCTCTATATTACACTCAGTTTCATCCAATAATTTTCTATATCACACTCGCTAGTTTCATCCAATAATTCTCTATATCTTACTCAGTTTCATTCAATAATTCTCTATATCACACTCAGTTTCATCCAATAATTTTCTATATCATACTCAGCCCCTTTCAATAATTCTGCATATCACCCTCAGCCTCAAGTGATATTTTTTTTAATTGTTGGTTGTTACTTTGGTCTAGACTACTGAGGAAAGTAATCAACAAGTTGAATTAAACATTGGTAATCTTCCTATTGGTAAAGAYGTTGCACACATYAAGAGTAGACTGAGAAAGCTGTCKGAAAACTGTGGAGGGAAAGTAGCTAGTGTTACTGGACGAAAGGCTGTCATGAAATTCCCCAACTACCAATGTGCAGCAAGGTGTGTTTTCTTTTCTGTTTATTCTAACCTGAAATTGTTTGTCACTTGCATGTAAAGACTGTATTTATGAATGTCCAAATMCAGGTTCAGTGACCACATACATTTGGTATTGAACCGAGGTGTCAAGATACACTAAACACAGATCTTTTCTTTTATGCTTGCGGCATGTTCCTTGATTCCTTGGTTCCATGCTTTGTTTGTGGTCAGTGAATCTGAATATGAAATATCAGGAATGGATGCCTACTAGGAAGTATCTCATGATAAAAAGAATTGAAAAGCAAGTTGAAAACCTTTATATTTTGCCTGCTAAAGAGCACATGATCTGATTAACTAACAATGTAATGTTCACCTAACTGTCTCATGTTATTCTTTGTCTGCAARGWTCTTATTGAARCTCGAAACAAAAGAGTCAAAAACAMCAACACCATTTACATTGTAAATTARCAATCACTAAYATAATACATAWACWTATGAAACCAAWACATTATTTACCAACTTSATATGTGCTTATAGCTGTACAAAATCCTTCAAAAAATGTTAATTTGACTAAAACATTAGTTTTCTTGATTTTAAGGGCTAAGAAGCGCATGGATAGTGAAGATGTCTTTGGCTCACTRATTCAAGTGAACTTTCCAKCCTCAAGATCTAACAGTTGTCCCACAAGACCTGCTAAAATAGCTCATACTATCCTGAAACTAGAGGACACAGTAGATATGATAAGCCAGGGACCACAGAGAGTAAGCACTACTATGCCTTATACCAAGAAGGTAACCAAGACAACCATGGAGCCGCCGGCAATCCATAAATACAGCGAACAATACTATGACGATAATCTTGAAGAAATTCTCTGTGCGCCATCTCATCAAGTTTCCACGGCAACACCAGCTACAGCATATTCAAGTCAACAACCCTACGTTAGCAASACTTCTGGCGCATACTCGTCACAGTGGCAGAACCCCTACTGCCAGGGGGTAGTACCCATTCCTACACAGGGTGTTGGGTACACATTCCCTTTAATGGGGCCACACCCTTTTACAGCATCCTGGCTGGCAAATCTTCATAGTTTAAGTATATTGGAGCAGCAGAAAGGAGGAGTTGATATTGCTGTAGGCAATCTTGATGAATCTGTCAGCAAGAAAGAACTGAAGAAAAAACTTGCGTCAGTGTTTAGAGAGCACTGTAAGGTAAGGTTATCTTGAACAACAATCTTTAAAGTTAGTATTTATCAGAATAGGCCTTCTTCAAATTATATTGTTTTATACAATGGAAAATGAGAGGGGGGAAGCAGGGTGGCCGTCATAGGACGATGCAAGGGCTGTGRCAGCTAATAGGAAAGCATGGAGAATGTCTATGTGACAGCAAGGCACTATAAGCTACAATCCTKGACAAAACAGTTGAGGCATTTTTTGAATTTCAATGACCTATCTGCRTATTTCTRTGCAAATCTCCCCCTTTCTCCCTCAAATCAATGTTGAAAGGACTGAACAATCATGCACAGCCTTCTAGCATCACGTCGCACACAAAACATTGTTTGTTAGGGGGGGGAGGGGAGGATCAAAATCAGTCTTTTTAGAGAGATGAAAAATTGGAATATTGTAAAAAAAAGGCCAGTGTCTCGAGGGGCTTTGCCAAGGATTGTAGATGATAATGATGATGATGATTCAATAAATAAATATATATTTGACTAGGTATTATGTTTTTCAAATCCAGGTTTATTCAGTTGTGTTACATTCTGGGGAAGGTGTTCCACTCCGTGCATTTGTCAAAGTACCAAAACTCTCCGACGCACAGTTTGCAGTCACCAAAGTGAACAACCAGAGGATCTTCTCCACCTCTGTCACCGTAACTCTWGTCACAGAAAAAGAGAAAGARCTTTGTTTCCTTTCAACAGAGGTCACCTCGGTACTTAAAGAAGCACCTCTACAATGGATGCCCYTAAACAAGTTCCTWAGCTTTTTCTATGAGAAGTGCTCCCGTCCTTTTGACATGAATGTGTTGACAATYGTACCAGACGTTGTGACAATCATTGGAAAGCCTGGCTGTGAAGCCATTTGCTTATTCAGTYCAGATCTYTRTRCTACTAAGATACTTTTGGAGGATCCAAGGGATTTTAACCAAGAGGTCCACATGCTTCTGAAGGATCACAAAGGATACTTGCTTTTAGGCAACTTTGCTGCATCTTACTGGTTTAAGTTTGATAAACAGGTTCAGGTGAATGAAAGTGGAGTGTGTTTGTCTGATGCCCTGGAGGGCGTGGTTAATGTATGCATCAAAGAGGATGCTGGGAAGGAAGTGGTTTCTTGGGCAAMAGAAGGAATAATCAATGGTAGGTTTTTTAATGTATTATTTTGGTTATTATTGTTTTGTAAGTTAAAAATTAACACTGGATTACCTTATGATTTTTAATTTAGTTATGTTTTTGATGATGATGATATCATTGATGTTGACTATGTTGATGTTGTGATGATGATGATGATAATGTTGTGATGATAATGATAAAATTGTTGATGATGTTGATGTGATGATGATGATGGTGATGATGATGATAATGTGATGATAATGATAAAATTGTCGATGATGTTGATGTGATTATGATGATGCAATATTAGGGTTGATTTACAAAAAAGGAATTGTTGTAAGAAATCTGGATAAATTTAACTGCCAGGTAAAGTTGGACTTTATGTGATAGAAAAGGATTTCTCTGTAGATAGACCTATTCCTTTACAACCAGCCCCAGGGTAATTGTTTGTTTTTTCTTGCACGCAATTTAACTACATGTACATATAAAAGTTTAAATTGATGTAATTTGAAATACRAACTATAATGTAGAATTAAACACCCTTATTTTGTATATTGTAGGTGGTGTATTCAATAAACTAGAGGAGTTTTCCTCAGAATTACAAAACCTTCTCAAAGCCCAGATGCAYTACAGACTTCCATTRAGTCAACTGATCTCATCYTAYCAGAAGTGGTTTAACAAAAAATCTCCCTTTGACCCTGTAACTTATGGCTTCTCATCAGTAAAAGATTTATTAGAAGCTCTTCCTAATCTTGTCATGGTAAGTAATCATCATGAAAGAGTGTGGATACACTTAATCTATGAAAAAAATAGAGGTTATTACATGTACATGGGCGCATGGAGATACAGATTTTATCTTCGAGTGTTGAAAAGATCTCTCATGAGTGAGCATAGCGAGAAACCCTGAATGTGTTATTTTCACTAGTGAAAATATCAATTTTTACGAAATGGACAAATATAGGTATTTCATAGATAATTATATGATAAATAGAGGTTATTACATGTGCCCACGGAGATAGAAAATTTATCGTGTTGAAAAGATCTTCTGAGAGATTTTCGACATGAGAAGATAAAATTCGTATCTCCAAGCAACCATGTGCAGTAATATACTGTTTATCATACAATTATATATGAAAGCAAATTATGTCATGAAATACTTTTTTCACATAAGTGGTTTTCATAGAGTTCCTAAGAATTTATTAAACAAATCAGTGACTGACTAAAGACTGAGAAACAGAAGTTCTTTAAGTTAGTTGAAAAACAATACTACTAAAACTAGTAAAACGAAGGAAATGTTAATAAATCAAATGAAAATATTTTGTGTATTCTTCATTACTTTAGGTGAAGGAAGATGGAGTCGAGAGATTTGTTATCCTTACTCAAAAAGTCAAGCTGAAAATCTTTGAAACTGASCTTAGGATCCTTCTAGAAGAASAGCCTGACTGCAGTCTTGTCTTGGGTCACTTTGTGTCAGCTTATCAAAGGTGCTTCAACCGTAAATGTTATGTTCAAGACTATGGTTTTGACAAGCTTTTGGATTTAATAGACAAGATGTCGCACATAGTCAAGGTAAAGTCAACCCCTGTTCTTTTGAGATAKCAAGTCTGKTCACTTGTAAAGACTTGCCTGAGCTGATGCAGGTCTTRCACAGACTTKTGCATACAARGAGAGCTTGGCRTTCATTCATTCTATAAACTTTTCTTCAGTGGTTTAATCGTAATGATTGCTG